ATAAATAGTGTTTCAAAGTGTTTTTATGTTATGTTGACACCATTTAGATACAGGAAATTTCTTACGTACAGTACTTCAGTGAAGTGATCCAGCATTGCCAACCTGCCTAGAGCTTTTGCCATGGAAAATTTCTGCTCACCTGACCACAATGGGGTCAAGAGCTTTCAGTTGCCCGGCCCCCTGCCTATGGAACTCTCTCTCCCTCTGGACCTTAGAAATTCAGTTTCTATTATCACCTTCAAATCTCAACTCAAATCCTATCAGTTCAGGAAAGCATATACACTTGAACCCTAATCTTTTTAACTATCATTAATTTTACAGTATTTAATAAAACTGTTTTTATTATTTAAGCCTCAAGTATTTTATTTTGTTAATCGATTTGTTTTTTTTTATTGTGTTTATTGTTCTATTGTGATTTTATTATTTTAGTAAGATTACCTTGGGAATTTTGAAAAGCGCCTATAAATAAGATGCATTATTATAAACCAAGCTTTAGAGAACTTACAGTAAAGGATCTCATAGTCTCCAGAGTTGGACATGATGAAGCGGTTGTCAGGTGACCAGTCCAGGTGTGTGATGTAGCTTGAATGTCCCTGTGGAAACATTCATGTAAAATTTAAAAAAACATCTCTTTGTTTATTATTTCTATTAATTTATTTCATTCATTGAAACAAAATAATCTATAAACAGTAAAATAAATAAGTATATTATGCCCTGAAAGAAAAGTATGCAAAGTGAAAAAATTCTCATCATATCTGCCCCCTTATTTAAAAAGAATTACCATCATTGTCATCATTATGAATGTGTATCATCTGATAGTTTCTAGTCTGATCAGCTGACCCAGCTACCTGTGATGGGGGTCTGGTTCTGTTGGACTGTACTTATATAGCGCCTTTCTATCCATCAGGGACACTCAAAGCGCTTCACACTGCAGACATTCACCCATTCACACACACTGATGATGGCAAACTACAATTGTAGCTACAGCTGCCCTGGGGCGCACTGACAGAGGCGAGGCTGCCATACACAGGTGCCACCGGACCCTCTGACCA